TATATATATATATATATATATATATATATTATATATATATATATATATATATATATATATATATATATATATATATATATATATATATATATATATATATATATATATATATATATATATATATATATATATATATATATATATATATATATATATATATATATATATATATATATATATATATATATATATATATATATATATATATATACTATATATTCAGCGACCCGAAGGTCAGACCTCACCTGTGGGGACTAGGGACGCTACGGCTAGCCCACAGGGACACTAAAGCAGTTCTGACTCTGTTATATTTCACACAAGCCTGTTCATCGAGCTGATGGTGCATTGAAATTACGTTAACGGTGTTGGTTAAAGGATCTTCAATTCGTTTAACGAAAAAATTCGGTTAGCGAGTTCTTACGAACCGACCTCAACATGTTTTTAAGCTTGCACTGACCGGCACCTTTGAAATTTATTTTACATATTGACAAGAGAGGCAGTAGCAATATTTTAAAGAAAATATTCTTTACGGTTTAACTCAGCGTATCGCGGTTGATGATTATTGAATCCGGTCAGCCTAAGAAATCAAGAAAGCAATTTAATCCCAAATAGCGTAGAAAATATTGTAAAAACTCTCCATCCAGGAAATAAAAAAAAACACGAACAAGGCATTAAATCAAATGCGCTATGCAAAGAATATGGCATGTCGGCATCAACTGTGTCGACAATTCTTGCACAAAAAGACAAATTTAAGGAAGTGCGCGTGAGAGACAAATTTACAAGAGTGTTTAAAAGTAGATCCCTAATCGTAGAAACTGAGAGGTTACTTATCATCTGGATTAGGGAAAAACAGATGAAAGGTGATTCAGTTTCTGGTGATTTCATTTGTGAAAGAGCCAGGGAGATTTATGAACATTTAAAGGCAGATCAACCTGGTTCTTCAGGAACAGAATTTGAAGATTTTCGAGCTAGCAAAGGCTGGTTCGAAAAATTTAAGAAAAGAAGTGACATTTTAAGTGTTGTTAGGCATGGTGAAGCTGCTAGTGCTGATAAAGAAGGGGCAGCAAAGTTTTTAGTTGAATTTAAAAAACTGATGGATGAAGAAAACTATCTTCCACAGCAAGTGTTCAATGTGGACGAAACTGGGCTGTTCTGGAAAAAGATGCCCAAAAGAACATTCATCACCAAAGATGAAGCCTCTTTACCTGGGCATAAACCCATGAAAGACCGTCTCACTCTATTGCTTGGTGCCAATGCTTCAGGGGATTTCCGACTGAAGCCTATGCTTGTCTACCACTCTGAAAACCCCAGGGTGTTCAAGCAACAGAAAGTGGTAAGAACAAAGCTTGGAGTTTATTGGAAGTCCAACCGTAAGGCATGGGTGACAAGACAGTTCTTTAATGAATGGGCTGTTGATGTGTTTTGCCCCTCTGTCAAGAGCTACCTAACCACCAATAAACTTCCTTTAAAGGCTCTTCTCCTCATGGATAATGCTCCTGGTCATGACCCTGACCTTGCCAGCAATTTGGAGTATCAATTTGACTTTGTGAAAGTGTTGTTTTTGCCTCCAAACACTACATCACTCATACAGCCAATGGACCAGAATGTAATCAGCAACTTCAAGAAGTTGTACATGAAGAAAATGTTTAGGAGGTGTCATCAGGCAACTTCCACTGATCCTGAACCAACACTGAAACAGTTCTGGAAGACACAATTCAACGTCCTGGAGGCTGTAAAATTGATTGTGTCATCATGGCAAGAAGTCTCCAATAGAACCCTCAATTCTTCATGGAAAGCACTGTGGCCATCAGTAGTCCATGATTTTGAGGGATTTGAGGAAGAAACAGAGTTGGACCAGGAGATTGTGTCCATTGGTCAGTCATTGGGCCTTGAAGTGGAGGAGAAGGATGTGGAAGAGCTTGTGATGTCTCATGAGGAGGAACTTACTCCTGATGACTTGAAGCAACTGGATGAGATGTTACAGGTAGAGGCTGACAGTGGTGAAGAGGAAATTGAAAGTGATGACCATATGTCAGCTAAACAGTTGAAAGATGTGATTTACTACTGGGAGAAGTTCAGGGAACTGGCTTCAAAGCACCCAGAAGTGGAAAAAACTGAACTAACTTTGTGTCATGTTGAGGACTCAGTGGTCTCCTTTAAACATAAGTTAATGGTGAGGAGGACAGGTGCCCCACAGACCACAATT